ATATATACACATATATATATATATATATATATATATATATATATATATATATATATATATATATATATATATATATATATATATATATATATATATGAAGTATCTGTTTAATTCAATATAACAGTACTTCTGTCCAAGAACAGAAAGAAAGGGGGCAAGTAATAGTAATAGTTTCCTAATAGTAAGATTTTTCTGCTGTGGCACAATAATAGCATCCCCATATAGAGTTCCAAAAATCAATTGCAATTCATTCAAAACTCCAATACATCACATGGATATATAACAATCCTCCCTGACTTGGCCTCAAACCTAGGTCACTCCAGGTATGAAACTGGAGATCCAGTACTAAACCAACCATGGCACACCATCCACATGGATAGTTTCAACTTATCTCTTAGTCAGATGCATCAGGAACACAAAGGTATACAAATTTATACTTTTAGATTTACTCTGTATCAACCAAAAGTCTAACAGTAGCTGTTTTACATACCACAACAGGAAACCAAAAGGTTACAAACAAAACTTTTGAAGTCTTTACTAAATGTCTTACTTTTGCCCCACCCCCTTGCTATTCTTGGCAACCTCTTAACATTGTCAGTGAACTTACTTCTGCAGAGACTTTTCTGGGACTGCAACACTCAAGGTAGGCTTGGTCTTTGGAGGAGTTTTCTGTCTCTTCATGGACTTATTTTTGCCCTTCTGTGGTACAGCTATCTGGGTACTTGTGGATGGGGCCTGAGTTCTGCTGCTTGTGCCAGGATTGGCTATCACACCATTGCTGCCACTTGAAATATAAAAGACATCACCCTAATGCAGAAAAGTTATGTAAGAGCTCACAACACAATACCAGCAGCTCTTATCATGCAATAATAATTATCCACATATTCTGATCTCGACTTTTACCTGGAACTGACAGCTGAATTGCTTGAGGCATATTTGAATGACTGGGTTACAGCACTTGGGTCAACAGTTTCTAGGAGTTCTGGACTGAGTGGCGCTTCATCCAGATTTAGTTCAGGGAATTCTGTGTTTGCTTCTGTTATTGTGGTTCCCCCAGGACTCACCACAGTTGGAACTGAAAGCATGTGTCAAACATATTTCAACATAAATACAAGAAGGAGAGCAAGAAGAAATGTGGTTGAAAGAGAGACAAAAGATACAAAGAAAAGGAGAAAAAAAAAGAAAAGAAAGAAAAAAAAATAAAGGGTGTCAAAAAAGGGAATACGAACACTAACACTTACTCACCCAAGTGTACCTTATCTTCAAATTAGAGATATCTCCCCTTCAATTAGTAACTAAATAACCACTTCTCTGCTGCACTTCACAAAATATTATAAAAGCAGTGAAGATCACTGCAGTTAGCATTTTAGGATAAAAAAGAAAAAAGAGAGGGAGCGAGAGAAAGAGAGAGAAAGAAAGAAAAAAAATAGATACATTAAATGAAAACAAATTCTAAAAGAAAGAAAGGAGAAAACAAAGTACATAGCACCAGAATATTTTGAGTGTACCTGCTGTGGACGTTGAAACTGGGAGTGCATCAGACTTTAACATTAGTATTGTTTCAGGTTCCAGGGGGTCTTCGCAGATTTCTTCAAAGGTTCTGAAAAGGAGGATTTCTTGCTATAATGCTTGATAGAAAAAGTCAAGGAAACATACAAGAATCAACAAAGCATACAGTTATCCAGTTCAATTAGTTTTCCAGAAATAATTTCCACAAGACTTTCAAATTCCCTGGCTTATCACATGGTATAGTGGTACTCTTTGCTGCACCTGCTTTTTCTGAGAACTTTTAACCCAGTGGACCATGGATTTTCATCCCAATGGTCTAACACTCATACCATATCTTAATCATAAGCAGTGGATTGGCCCGTGTTATTACTTTCATAGGGTGGCCAACTCCATGCAACACTACCAAGTCTTCCCATGGCAATGCAGCTCATTTCATACATGAATTTTGGGCTCTATTCATATTGTATGCAAGTGCTATTTTACAATGTTCTGGTACTCATGCTAGATATCAGACAGCTTTTATGACCATGATAATCCTGTGCTATCCTTGCCAGGACTTCAACATAAAAGTAATTATACGTCCAAGCTTCCAAAGGCGATCTCCTCTGCCATGAGGAAAAAGGTTGTCAGTGAAATGGAGGAAGCTTGTGATATGGTCAAACCTGTCACATGGCATGGTCTCCAAGTGAATAGCAGATGCCATCAAGTAATCATGTGACCAGTGCTGGGGCCTGGTGTTCCGTGGTATTAGCAGCCGTATGGCCAGGAAAATGTGGAAATTCTGGGCTGAGAGTGGTATCCATCTGCTTGTGTCCCCTTGGCTGACGAGACTGACAAGGACTCATCAGATTCCATTGGTGTGTTGTACTGTGACACGACAATTAAATCAATGTGATCTTCATCTGAGCTGCTACTCATATTTATCTTCTGATATGTCTGAGCCTCTGAGGGTGCAATATCATCTAAGTACTTGGTGCACTTGAAAGGAGAACAGACATCAACTCTTTCCATCTGCAGTGGCACTCTGGTGTGTGATGGCATGTGTCCTTGATATCCACAATGATACCTAAAATTGCTTATGGCAAACGGGTTGCCATTCATGGATAAATGGTTAGTGGTTTTATGCCACTTTTACTATAACCTGCTGAAATTCAGCCCCAGTCATGGCTTCAGTAAATACAGGATTGAATAAAAGCTAATGAAGATTCACCTTCTGATCATAATTATACCATCTTAGAAACTGTGCAGCTGATTTTAAGTCCAGGGCAACAAGCAAGTAGATGAAAAAGCTGTAATGAAAATGATGAAGCAGCAGCTGAGAGTCTCTGTTAATAGGATAATTCAGTTGTGTAGTGAACTGGTTGATTGTGACAAAGTCCATGAAGAACCAGGTAGAGATGGAGTAGGACAGTGGCTTCAAGGAGGGGGAAGAATGTGGGTGAGTTCCTAGGGGGTGGGTGAGTGGGTGACATGGCTTTATGCTCAGCCTCTGTTTCTTCCACTTTCTCCTATTCTAGGCCAATTTTATTTTCAGTTTTTTTTTTTTTCCAGACTAGATCTGTAATTCTGAATGGCTTGGGAACATTTTCATCTGTATTTCAAATCTGTTAAAATAATTGGTTTAGACAGCATCCCCATAATCCAGCATTTCTTAACCCGGTGTGCTAGCGCCCCCTGGGTTTGCTGATATCAATTTAGGGGGGTGCTGAATATATGGCAGTAAAAAATCCAGTTGATTTTCCAACTGTCTATGCTCTTTTCTTTTTCTGTGGTTTTCTTATTTCTTTTATTAACAATGTTGGTAGTTGGGTTTTAGTTTTGAGGAATAAACGAAATAAATGATCAAGCAGTACTTAACTTAACTTTCTTTTATCTTTCTAGTAATCAGATATTAACCTGAATTAGGGGATCCTAGACTGTCAAACCTATGTACCTATAATATGTGATCTAGACATTTTTACTATTTTCTTCATGGTTGGTATTGTTACAGAGATGTTATATCTCAAGTTTGGTTTCATTTGGCAAATAAATAACAGAAATATAAAATAAATTTGTGATTTTTCTTGTTTGGCACACTGTTGGGCTAACTACTCCCATAATAAACAACAAAGGTTGACCAAAAAAATTTAGCGATATTATCTAGAACATGAACGGATGAGATTTTTCTATTCCTTTTATTAGTTCCAATGTATGAGTTTGAATGATCAAGAAAAGAAAATTTGTTTCAATATCACTGCATAAACACAATTTTTTTTTATCCATACCTAAAATATTATACTCTCTGCTCTACAAAATGCAAAATAAAGGCAGAAAATTGTTCCACTATTTGCCAAAAAAATAATAATAATAAATAAATGAATAAATAAATAAATAAAAATAAATAAATAATAAATGAATAAATAAAAATAAATAAATAATAAAAGAATATAAATAAAAAATAAATAATAACAACATTACATCAAGTGATAAGACGTAGTACTATTTTACAGTTTGTCGAGAGCTTATATACCCATGAGAGTTGCCAAATCTTGATTCAAGTGAATTCTATCAGAACATGAGTCTGACATAATTTTACTATAAAATTTCATAAAATTATTTCATTAGGTGTGTCTGCTAACTGAATGATGTGCATTACCCCCTGTATGCATGGGGGTAACAAAAAAGGCAGCTGTGTCTTTACTTTTTATCATTTCCTTACCAAACTCCATCATATCTTGGGCAGTGCTGCCAAATTACTGTACTAACCACTTGGATCCAAGTGCTTCAGTGTCTGCATGTGGCTCAAAATCTAACCTTACTTGAGTGGTCACTCTCATGGAGGTGAGGCTTGTATGCTGGGACACATGAATGCTCATGAGTAGTGTCAAGACTCCTTGCTTCCTCTTTACAATCTCCCTGGTCTCTCTTTCTGCATAAGTGTTTTTAGCTCTTTTGCCATTTTCCAATGTCTATATTTGTTATTAGACATACTGTATCCATATGGTAATAAACTGCTTTCCATATCATCTCTCTAGGTAGTCCATTACTCAGTACAATAATAATAACAATCAGTAACATTTAGCTATTTGTGCCATTTAGACTTTTTTCATAATATTCAATTATCAATTATCAATAATACAATCTGCACTCCTGGTTATGGAAGGCATGAATAAGAGCCTAAGCATGGAAATAGCATACTCCCTGGGAGCCAGTACTCTTCCAGGCATGGCTCATGGAGAGTACATTCTACACATGTTTATCGATGGAAATAATGCAAGAGCCCCAACTTAAATACCTATCAAGTCCAATCATCCTCCATGAGCTTCGTGCACTCAAGGCGAGTCATTCCCTTCACCCTAGCCTTCAGCCAAAATTCTTATGACGGTGTGTTCCAATCACTCTGGCCCTCAGCTCCTCAAGCCACATCATTTAACATGAGTTTATTAATATCTCTAATAATTAATAATGTATTCAGGATACTATTCACTAAGAGCTTATTTGTCTCTAATAAT